TCTCAAAATAAGCGACTAGCTTGAAAAGTTGGCATTTTACACTTAAACTATGAAGATGTCTACAACTTTGATTTCTACAGATTCATATCTCATCATTTTCCCACAGAACCAGATATATTTTCCCTAAATTAAATCAGATTAGATTATATAAGGTTTTATTGATTGATTGGATTTTTTGTAGGAAGTGTCTCACTTCCTGCTGACAACCAGTTTGTGCCCTCAGAGGCTAAATCGAACACTTTGGATAAAAGAACAGCATATACTGCTTCAACTTGCAGATTCAGCACATTTACTGATCAGCACTTTCAAGTTTTGTTTTCCCTACAATGTGTAAATTTGATTGTACTATGTGTTTTAGTGTACTTTACACTTTTAGCTACTACATTGAATCTGAACGTCCTCTTTCGTTATATCTATTATATCTAAAAAATAAGTTAAAAGGATAGTTTACACAAAAAATGTTTTTCCAAACAAAGCCCATATGACTTACTTTCTTATATGGAATGCAGAATGAGAATTTTTGAAGAATGCTGTCACTAATTTCCATACAATTATGACAAATTGCGACTGAAGCTTTCAGATCTATTCAATGAACTTTTCCAATTCAAAATCTCGGAAAGATTCATTCACCAATGATCCAGTTCTTAAGTTAACTAACTTGATTTAGTTGCAGCGGTTACTGAATTAATTGTCACTGTATCTCAAACAAAGCTATCATACAGAATTACTTCAGAAGACCACTTTTATGATACTTAGGACTCTTTTGGGTCTTTTCAGAATCTTTGAAAGCACCAGCTCTTGTACCCCAATCTTGTTATTGAAGGATAAGAGCAGCCTCACATTCTCTGAAATTTCTCATTTTGTGTTACACAAAAGAAAATAGGTTTGGATCGACATGATAACTAAATTTAGATTTTTGGATGAACTGTCTCTTTAAATCAGAGATGCCAAAACCAGGGTCCACGGGACCAAACTTTGCCCGTGATGACCTTTAATTTGGCATGCAATGTTATATCACAAGAGGAAAGGGAAAAAAAGAAGAAACATGCCACTGAACATATATTAATTTCTAATTTAGATTTTTGTTTTAAAGGGTTAGTTCACCCCAAAATGAAAATTCTGTCATTAATTACTCACCCTCATGTCGTTCCAAATCTGTAAGACGTTCATCTTC